TGAAGATTACAAGGTCTGTTTTGTGAGTTCATCATGACAGGAACTGCAGCAAACCTGTATAGATTTGCTTTCTTTTAATAACTATTATTTTTGCCTCGTTCATTCTAATTAGACATAAATAGCTCTGATCTTATATAGTGTTTTCTTTTATTATTTCTGATTTTACTTGTTAGACTTTATTGAAGCACTGAGTTAAAAATAACATATAATTTATTTAAAATGTACAAATTACATTACATTAAATTACGGTACATTAAATAACTTCATCATGATATGTACCCTCAGGTTTTAGTATCCTGATAAATAGAACACATTTACAGAATAAAACATGTATGTTGGATATATAATAACACTGGCAGAACATGAAAAATGTGTCTTTTTATTTGTATTTTTTTTTTGTTCATTAATCATCTTCATTAACATAAATGATTCCATTAATAGACAGAGGACATTGGTAATGGGGCAGCACAGTGGCTAAATGGTTAGCACTTCCACCTGGCAGTACTAGGGTCATCAGTTCAAATCCCAACCACAGCACCTGCCTGGAGTTTACATGTTCTCCCTGTGAATCTGTGGGTTTCCTCCAGTTACTCCAGTTTTTTCCCACACTCCAAAGATATGCCTGTAGGTTAATTGCATCCTGTCTAAATTGGCCCTAGTATGTGTATGTATGAATGTAAGTTAGGGACCTTAGAGTGTACATCCCTTGAGGGTTAGTGACTGATGTGAATGTACGATATATATGTAAAGCGCTGCGTAAATTGACAGCACTATGTACCTGTAATAAATAAATAATGTTGTGCTGAAGTATCTTTTTGGTTTTTTGGTTTTTTGCTCTTAGAATACATAAAAAATAATATCATTGTTAAAAGCACTACCACAAAAGCATGTTTTGTTATATATACAGTATACAGTTTATATATATATATATATATATATGGAACAGTGAAGTGGCGCGCGAGTGACCAGCTATGAATATTGCACCACATCCCTTAAAATTGCAAATTATCAATAGAGAAGATGGGACTTTCAGGGTGCATAGACATGAATACCACACATTAAAAGATAAATAATTTTTAAAAAATACAAAAACATAAAAACAATTTCAATTCTAAGAATACCAACTGAGATTCAAACTTGGTTAGGTAAATGTAGTATACTCCCTACATGTTTCACTCTCAAAAGTCCAGACGAAATGAGCTCCATTCAGATCCAAAACAGCCTCCAAGAAACTCAGCGTGCACTGGTGATTAGCCGAAAGAGCTTTCACATCCAAAACTGCCTTGGCGGTAGAAATTTCATCAAACATTCCCCCCTGAAGAAGACCGTGAGGGCGAAACATGTAGGGAGTATACTACATTTACCTAACCAAGTTTGAATCTCAGTTGGTATTCTTAGAATTGAAATTTTTTTTTATATTTTTGTATTTTTTCCATTCTTGTGTTTTTTTACCAAAATACAAAATAAAAATTATTTAACTTTTAATGTGTGGTATTCATGTCTATGCACCCTGAAAGTCAAATCTTCTCTATTGATTATATATATATATATATTAGATATAAATGTCCAATCAATAGGCGCATCATGTAAGTCGTGTTGTGAAAATAATTGTGGTCCCCTAGGGGTACACAGCCATCAGTGTTGAAGTGGGAAAGATTGTGTCACCATTGTGGCTTGCCAGTGAATCAAGGGGTATCTCTTAGAAAATGAATTTATATCTAGAACATATATGGCAATGATGTCCAGTCTTTGGCATATTTTACATATATCGACAGGCAGTATTATGGACAAGATCAGAGAACAGATATTACTAAATAGGTGCCTATAGTAATTATAAAGTTGAACTGAATTCAGTTGGAAAATACTGCGACTAAGCAAAAGATAGAAAATACACATAATTTATTTCAGTTGCCATTTTTTTCCATGAGCAGTGAGACTATGAGACAATGAGACTACAGCCTCTTGCTAGTCATTGAAGACTCTTGTCAGTCATTAAAGCAGAACTTAAGGTTTAGTTTATTTATCTTGGAATGATTGTAAACAGCTTTTATGGGGGAAATTTAGAAAAGCAGAGCTTCTTCATGCAAATAAATGTCTGAAGTGGAAACTTTACTTTAATGCAAACTGAAAATTAGAGAAATGAACCAAATGAAAATGTAAAACTGTGTAATCCCCCACTTAGTGACAAGACAGAAAACAGAAGTAAAAATAATAGTCCAGATTTTATGAAATATTCATGTAAAGTGACGACGAAGAAACCAAATTAAAACAGTGTTCATTTGGCACCTGTATGACCCTCCACTGTGAGAATAAAACTCCCCAGAAAGGATAACCTCTAAATTATAGGTAGGTAGTAACACGCTGCTTTTATACAGTTGTTGTCAAAAGTTGGCGTGAAATTTTGGCATCAATATTGAAAATATGGCTGATCATGCCAAAGAAAACCTGTCTTTTAGTTAAGAATAGTGATCAATGATCACACAAAGACCCAGTGAGGTGTGTCAAGGTGTTGTTGGTTATATTGTAACTGGGTTTTTTTGTGGCATTGGCGCAGTAAAGACTTCTTTCTGGCAACTCGACCATGCAGCTCATTTTTTTTTTCAAGTATCTTCGAATTGCACTCCTTCAAACAACCACACCTTCTTTTTCCAGAGCAGCCTGTACTGCTCCTGAGGTTACCTGTGGGTTTTTCTTTGTATCCCGAACAATTCTTCTGGCATTTGTGGCTGCAATCCTTCTTGGTCTACCTGACCTTGACTTGGTATCAAGAGATCCCTGAATTTTCCACTTCTTAATAAGCAATTGAACAGTACTGACTGGCATAATAAGGTCTTTGGATATCTTTTTTTATATCCTCTTCCATCTTTATAAAGTTCCATTACTTTTTATGCATGTCTTTTGAAAGTCCTTTTCTGCTCTGTATCTAGCTTGCTCAGTGGACCCACATGAGAGCTAACAAACTCAATGACTATTAATGCACAGACATCAATTGCAATTTTAAAAAAAATCACAGTTGTGGGTAATTAACCTTTAATTGCCATTTTAACCTGTGTCACCTTGTGTCTCTGTACCAAGGCCAAACATTCCATTCTATGGAAACTTTTGATCATGGCTATTTGTGTGATTTCTGTCATCATTATGATTTAAAAAGGAGCCAAACAACTATGTGATAATAAATGGCTGCATATGATCACTATCCATAAATAAAAGACATGTTTTTTGACGTGATCAGTCACATTTTCAATATCAATAACAAAATTTCACGATTTCTGCCAGGGAATGCAAACTTTTGAGCAAAACTGTATACTACCAATAATGAAGCTGAAAATAAACTTTACATGCTGTATGTTAGCACATGAATGGCCCTCCTTTATAACCTTCTGCCCCCCACCAAACATCAAAGCTTAAACAAGGCAGAAACTTATAGTATAGTTCCACTTTAACCACTTTAGCGCCCCACCATAGCATAAGTACTGCTACAGGGCGGCAGTGGTGCGCAAAATCACATATATATATATATACGTGATTCTGCATTTCCGGGTAGGGAGCTCACGCACCCTACCCGCACTGCCGTTTGCGACCACGGCTGCCGGTGATTACTCGCCAGCCGGTGATTGCTGAGGATCTCCAAAGGGCGAGAACTGTTAGTAAACAAAACAGTTCTCTCCCCTATAAGCTCCTGCACACTGCTTTGCATGACTGAGCACAGCACAGCCATGCAAACCAGTGTGCTTACAGTGAAGCACAAACAAAGAACATTGTGTAAAACGGTACACAGCACACAGTTAGCCCCTTTGATCGCCCCACCCCTTCATGGCCAGTGCCATTAGTACAGTGTCAGTGCTTTTTATTAGCACTGTTTACTGTATTGGTGTCACTAGAAATGTCAGTGACAACCAAGCCAGTGCCCCCCAGTGTCAGAATGCCCGCAGCAGTCCTGCTATAAGTCACTGATCACTAGTTACTACTAGTAAAAATGTAAAAAAAAAAAAAGCCCAGTATATATACTGTTTACCATTTGTAAACAATATTACTTTCACGTAAACCAATTAAATTACACGTATTGGGATATTTTTTTTAGCAAAGACATGGAGCAAAATACATTTTGGCCTAAATTTATGACAAAATTAGATTTTTAAATTTTTTTTTTACTGGGCATGTTTAATAGCAAAAAGTCAAAAACATTGTTTTTTTTCTCAAAATTGTTGGTCTTTTTTTTATAGTGCAAAAAATAAAAACGCACAGGCGATCAAATACCACTGAAAGAAAGCTCTATTCATGGGAAAAAGGCCGTAAATATCATTTGGGTGCAGCATTGCATGACCGCACGATTGTCAGTTAAAGTAACGCAAAAAATGGCCTGGTCAGGATAGGGGGTTAATCTTCTGGAGGGCAAGTAGTTAATAGAAAAGGTTTTGATCTATATAACACAGACTCACATTTTTGGAGTTTTTATGTTGCAGTAAACATCGACAAGCATGAAATAACTGCTGCTCTCCACAAAGTACGGTGCCCACAATTCTTTCTAGCCAAACGTGAGCAGGGGGTGGAAGTTCGTCCTGTAGAGGGCTCATTAGAAATCACAAGCCATTTAAGTAATTCTTCACATTTCAGTTCCTAAGCATTTAACCTCCTCATGCCTGGAACTAACAGACACTCTGAGACTCTGACACCAAACACTTGATCGGTACTGTATTCTGTATTCTGAATTCACATTGACATACTGTATAGGCTCACATCACAGGAAGCTACTGCTTTATGGTTACTGTGAGGCCTTGCTCTTTTGACTCGCTAGGCCAGGTCCATAGGCTGATACTGTGCCACAGCACGCTCAAATGTGGATATCATGCTGCAAGGCGAGGGACATAAAGCGCTCCTGTCTTCCCACCAAACATGGACACTGTCACCCCAGGGGCGGACTGACCATTTGGAAACTCGGGCACTACTCGAGGGCCTGGGGTCAGTAGGGGCCCCATTAGATTCCTCTGGTACATTTTTCATAGGTTTTTTGAGTTTGGGCAAGGACACAGGGGCCCCACATGATCCCCTATTGCCCGGGGGGCCCCATGAATTGTCAGTCCGCCCCTGTGTCACCCGCTACAGTCACCTGCTTCCACTCACATTGGTCACTATTTGTGAAAGTGTGTCCCAACCCTGAAGGTTAAAATGTGTGTGCCAGAAGTATATAACCACAAGGGTTAGGCTGGTACAAATGTCCTGCAACAGCACAAGACTGCTCAACCCTGTAGGTTGAATGGCTTTATTCCCAACAGAGATTCTTCTGATACACAAAGATTACACTGATTCTGATTATAGATACTTCTACTAGTAAAGGACACTAACAACTTCTTTGCTTAAAACTTCCTTTTACTGATGAACTTGGCAATTGCAGGTACACCTGTAATAAAATTTAAAAATTATAATATAATTATAATACAATTATACCAATGCATTGTACACTCACCATATACAGTGGGGCAAAAAAGTATTTAGTCAGCCACCAATTGTGCAAGTTCTCCCACTTAAATAGATGAGAGAGGCCTGTAATTGGCATCATAGGTAGACCTCAACTATGAGAGACAAAATGAGAAAAAAAATCCAGACAATCACATTGACTGATTTGGAAAGAATTTATTTGCAAATTATGGTGGAAAATAAGTATTTGGTCACCTACAAACAAGCAAGATTTCTGGCTCTCACAGACCTGTACCTTCTTCTTTAAGAGGCTCCTTTGTCCTGCACTCATTACCTGTATCAATGGCACCTGTTTGAACTTGTTATCAGTATAAAAGACACCTGTCCACAACCTCAAACAGTCACACTCCAAACTCCACCATGGTGAAGACCAAAGAGCTGTCGAAGGACACCAGAAACCTTAATTGTAGACCTGCACCAGGCTGGGAAGACTGAATCTGCAATAGGCAAGCAGCTTGGTGTGAACAAATCAACTGTGGGAGCAATAATTAGAAAATGGAAGACATACAAGACTACTGATAATCGATCTGGGGTTCCACGCAAGATCTCACCCCGTGGGGTCAAAATGATCACAAGAACGGTGAGCAAAAGTCCCAGGACCACACGGGGGGACCTAGTGAATGACCTGCAGAGAGCTGGGACCAACGTAACAAAGGCTACCATAAGTAACACACTACGCCGCCAGGGACTCAGATCCTGCAGTGCCAGACGTGTCCCCCTGCTTAAGCCAGTACATGTCTGGGCCCGTCTGAAGTTTGCTAGAGAGCATTTGGATGATCCAGAAGAGGATTGGGAGAATGTCATATGGTCAGATGAAACCAAAATAGAACTGTTTGGTAGAAACACAACTCGTCGTGTTTGGAGGGGAGAGAGAAATCTGAGTTGCATACAAAGAACACCATACCTACTGTGAAGCATGGGGGTGGCAACATCATGCTTTGGGGCTGTTTCTCCGCAAAGGGACCAGGACGACTGATCCATGTACAGGACAGAATGAATGGGGCCATGTATCGTGAGATTTTGAGTGCAAACCTCCTTCCATCAGCAAGGGCATTGAAGATGAAACGTGGCTGGGTCTTCCAACATGACAATGATCCCAAACATACTGCCCGGGCAACAAAGGAGTGGCTTCGTAAGAAGCATTTCAAGGTCCTGGAGTGGCCTAGCCAGTCTCCAGATCTCAATCCCATAGAAAACCTTTGGAGGGAGTTGAAAGTCCGTGTTGCCCAGCGACAGCCCCAAAACATCACTGCTCTAGAGGAGATCTGCATGGAGGAATGGGCCAACATACCAGCAACAGTGTGTGCCAACCTTGTGAAGACTTACAGGAAATGTTTGACCTCTGTCATTGCCAACAAAGGATATATAACAAAGTATTGAGATGAACTTTTGATATTGACCAAATACTTATTTTCCACCATAATTTGCAAATAAATTCTTTCCAAATCAGCTAATGTGATTGTCTGGATTTGTTTTCTCATTTTGTCTCTCATAGTTGAGGTCTTCCTATGATGCCAATTACAGGCCCTCTCTCATCTTTTTAAGTGGGAGAACTTGCACACCTGGTGGCTGACTAAATACTTTTTTGCCCCACTGTATGTACTGCAGAGTCATATAAACAGTGCATAAATAATTTACAGTACAATAATCACTTATGACAATTCACTGACATGAATGTACAATATATATGTAAAGCTGTGCATAAATTGTTGGTGCTATATAAATACCTGTAATAAATAAATAAATATTAATCATATAAAGCACAATAACAATATACCCTCTGTATAAAAGCGGCAGCAATAAAATTATACCTGGTAAATATAAAATACCAAATAACAATAAAAACTCTTTAAAAATTAAAAAAAAAGAAATGAATTTATATCAACCCCAATATTAACACTCTTAAGGCTAAGTATATCCAATTGGTAAATACAAAAAAGTTTAATTCTTTGGTAACTTTCTAGTGAGATTTGAACCCCTCTAAAAGCGAAACACCAAATCTGTGCTACAGAACAACAGGCCACTATGGTCCCTTCTGTCGCATTGTCAAGATTTTAAAACATATGAGTTGTGAGACCTTTATTATGATGATGATGATGGTGGTTATTATTATTATTAATAATAATAATAATAATATTTTCCTCTAATCTGACCATTAGTTGCCTAGTAGCATTATCCACATACTACTAGCTGTAAGAGCATTCCAGCAAATAAATGACCTGGGTTGAGTCACACGAGATAAAATGCTCAGTTTGAAAAAATCTCATCCATTACTGTTTGATCTGAGTACATATTGCCTCCTATCTTGAAATAATTTATTTTATAAATTTAAAATCTACCACAACACAATATTAACTTCTAAATGGCTTCGGTAATAATTAGCTTTCCTAAAGATGTATTTTGGCTCTACCAGTAAGACATTACCATGAACATTATACCAGTACTTTAATAGGATACACCATTGTTGTTTGTTTTGTTTTTATAATTCCCTCTATCAAACGATATTGTGAATTAAAATGAGAAAAAAATTATTAAAATATGGATGCAATATTATTTGTGTATTTGGCTAACTCTGCCCTATGCTTACAGGCTACTTGCATGATATCTTTATCAATATTGTCTTTAATATACCCCTTTTTTATAAAAAGATCTCTCAAAACTTCTACTTGTTTACAAAATTCACTTTGCTTTATGTCACATCATTTCACCCTTAAGTAAGTCAGGTCCCACATTTCTCTGCTGGAAAGCCTCCTGCATACTGCAGTGAAAAGTGAAGCAGAGGTGTGAATAATTTCTGACTGATCAGCGCTGTGCATAATTAAACTGTAGAGAGACTTTGATGAGCCAAGTTAAAAATTCCAAACCATTGGAATCAGGCTTAGAATTAGGTGCTCTCAGAATACCAAGGTATCAGGCACAAAAGGACATTACACCATGGGGTAGCCTAATGAAATCAAACATCACCAAATCTTAAAAGCTCTGAACCCTTTATGTGTTTACATGCTAATATTTTTTCGACTACAGTCTCACAATCTGCATAGCAATTAACTTATCAGGCAAAGTAATATGTTTGCATAGTCTATCCATGCTGATTTAGTAGATTAAGGTTACAATGTCTTCTTAAGGTTATGCCAAGAGGCACTATGCCATTGACTGTCAGAGAGGTGCCATGTCAATTTGGACCCCTGAACTCCTCTATACTGGATGACCAACAGGAGCCAGCAGGTTGACCCCAGATGTGTAGGCTAATAGCTGGTTCCCAGGAGAATGGAGCACACTGGACTTGGAAGGAGTTGATAGCTGAAAATGTGCAATGTGGCCCTCGCTGGATTTGCACATCACCAAGGTACTTGAGCATGGTCCTAAGGGAGAGCAGGTGACATGGGATGCCCCTTGGAGAAGAGTTTAAAAGCCAGCTGGTATTCACTAGGAAACACCCTCATAAGATTTGTGCTTAGCTGCCTGCTGACCCAGGTCACGACTCCTGCATTCACCCTTCTCTGGGCACCGCGACCACATAGATCATGAACACACCAAATGGTGTCAGAATGGTGCAGATAAGAAGACTATGGATATCTGCAGCAGCAGAAGGAGGAAAGCAAAATAATATGGTATCCACAAGCACACCAGCAACAACACCAGCAACACAATTTAGAAGCTATTATTTTTCTCAGAGATGCTGGTGACAATGTGACAGAGTCCAGCAGCACGGAATTAGTTAGTGTGATGAACTGGAGCACAGAACGAGAGCACAGGGAGGCAGATCACAGGAAACCCGACGTGCGGGCGTTTATTGGGGAGGCTCAGGATACAGACAATAGAAAAAATTGTTCACAGAACAACACAAGACTTCACAATGAAGAATTATTCTCAGGATGGCAACATGGGGCAGCAGAGACCAGGTAGTTCACAGGGCAAACAGGTCAGAGAAGCAAGGGCACTTCAGGGCACAAGCAGGGCACAGAGGTTTAAGTCCTTGGACAAAGGTTTCGGGCAGAACAGGGTTAAGTCCAGCACACAGGGCAAAGGGTTCTGGGCAGACCAAGGTTAAGCCCACAACACAGGGCAAAGGGATCCGGGCAGAATATGGTTAAGTCTGACACACAGGGCAAAGGGTTCCAGGCTGGACGGGGTTAAGTCCAGCACACAGGGCAAAGGATTCCAGGTAGAACAAGGTTAAGTCCAGCACACAGGGCAAAGGGTTTAGGGCTGAGCAGGATTAAGTCCAGCACACAGGACAAAAGGTTCCGGGCAGAATAGGGTTAAGTCCAGTACACATGGCAACGTCCATGGCACAGTGTGGCACTCTAGTACAGCAGGGCTTAGTCCGGAGTCAAAAGCACAAATATGGGCCCAGGGAGTAGAAGACCGCACACTGATACAGAAAAGTCTGGGTAACGGCAGCAATTCAGGAACTCACTAGCCAGCAGTGGCCTCAGCAGAGGAAGTCTAAAAATGGAGAGTGAGGTCCAGCGGGCAGAGGTTGTTCACCAACTCCTCACGGGTCTTCGGAGGGTTGTGTGTCCTGGCCGCAGCTTCAAGACCACACAGACGGCAGTTGAGAGAAGAGCATAGGGTAGAATAAAGTCCCAGAGTCTGGTAAGCCACACAG